GTTATAGGATATGGCATACATTGCAACTCGACTCAAAACGGGTTTTAGGAGTATAATCAAACTTGTACATATGTATATTAAATATTCTTTAAATCATAGCTTCCCGATGATCTGCCTTTTGAAGAGCTTTTAAAAACATCTTCCTTTTTATATGACAAATATTCATTGACTGTAATTGAGAAACATGTTGAAGAACTAATTAGAAGAGAGTAAGTTGTTTTAATTAGTCTGCATTAGAATCATCTAATTTACTTTTTTCATTATAGAAAACTTCAAAGGCAGTTGGAAGAAAAACGCATTCAAGAGCGAAGAAAGCAACTTGCTCGCAATGCTCGCGCCGGTAATAACGCATTTGCTCGTTGGTTACCGCAAGTTCTCACTCCAAAGTCAATGATAGTAACAACAGCATTCTCAATTCTTGTTGGAATTTGCGCATACTACTACAAAAACCAGTATCTATCGGCAGGAGTTAGTTGAGTAAGTATTTACATGCAGCAAAGCAAAAATCATGCACTGCGGCATGCTCCTGCCCCAATTTGGAACTGGATGATCGGCTTTTCTTTTTAATAAATGCATACAAAATGTATTTATAAGTAATTTTAATCACTCATAGGCAAGGTTGGAAAAATACGTTCACTATATTATACTATAAGTTTCTTATTGCTCTTCTTAGCTGGTACATTAAGGATATTTTTATTATTTTTTGGTTTAATTGTAGTTCACTTATGTGTATTGATTGATAAGAATATTGTTATATATATTATATTTGTTATGCAAGAGTGGTGATTAAGAGCGTAAACATAAAATTACATAGCATAGAGCTTCTTAGCAGCTATGCCCATGCACATTCATTACCAGATATATTCGTATGAACCCGATGTATTTATATAACACAAACATATTGCAATGTAAATTTTAATCGAAATTAATGCGCATAGAATAAATTAGAAGGAAATGTTAATATTTCAAAAAACATTTGTATTTCGCTATTTGGAAATGGAAAATAGTGCTTTTTTATTCGCTCAAGGTAAGTACGAATGTTTATATAAACCTACTTAGTGTTATCTATATAAAAGCAGCTATTTACAAATTGCACACCCCCTGAAATAGAGGCTCAACTAAAAAACGAAAAAAAAAAATTAGCCAGATTTTTTTGGCATACATCAAATTGTGGCATTTATCTCCATTTTATACACCTATTGTGCGTCATATTTTATGTACGCTCATATTCTTGGACCACTATAGATACATTTCTTCGTATAATTTGTTTCGAATCTGTACGATCTTCGGATCTGACTTTTAAATTGTGTCTCTTTTGAAAAGGGGGCGTAATATGTAAAGTCAACATAAACAGTTGGAATTTTCACAATTCTAGTCATGACCTTATTGTGACTGTTAAATGTCCGACATTTTTGTTAGTTGTCCTTGACGATTTATACATTCGATCCCTTCAATTGCTTCGTTCAGGTGACTTGCGAGAGTTGGATTTTGGAACGGTTTGTGCACTGATACTTTCGGTGTTATCTTCTCGCACTCTTAAAATGCACAAATGACACTTGGAAGTGCAAAAATCGCAGGATATTAGAAATCTGCCTAACAAATTTTATTTTTCTCTGTGGCTAAAGATAATTCTAAAGTAGCAATAAATTCATTCAATTTGCCTGGATCCATTTCAAAGCTCAATTTACTTAGTTTACCATTTGCATCACAACAGTGGAAATATATTCGGACCAATTCCCGAAAATTTTGCGCGAAGCTACTGTCACCGAGTACAACACGTGCGTCGTAGTCAAATGACAATACCAATGGATGATCTTGAGCATTATGCAGCTGCATCATATACTTTCCAATTTCTGATTTACGCGCCTCGTATACAGCTGGTACCAATCGCTGGAATTCGGGACTTAAATTGTTAAATTCATAAAGCAATTCCGCTTCTGTGGCATTCTCATTCTCGTAGTGAGATCTGTAGACTCGGGCAATCTTGCGCGTCAGCAACATGAAATCGTGGACATTTTGGAATCCGTACTTGTGACAATGTTTCTCCATTTGGTGCTCGTCACTATTACCAAGGAGTACATCTATCGAGTAGTTCAGAATCTAGCAAGAAGTGTTAATCCAATACGATTTCTGCTTTTGAGAGTAACATACATACCTCATAAAGAATTTCTTTATTATCGATATTTAATAAAAGTGGACAGCCTAGAAATGTATAACCAAGTGACATATTTCTAGTATGCTTTAATGATTAAAACTGCTGATATAAAAAATATAATTATTTATTAAAAAATTGTTAATCTTTATTTATCAACAGAAGTGGTGTCAATGCCATCTGATTTTGTTTACTATACGAAAATCATGAGCCGTCTAAATGAAATTTGACGGCGTTGTTTACTAGTACAATTGTCAACGGAAGTGAATTCTTCAAGGAGCCAAATGCAAAATAAAGGTGCGGTTAAACGTGGCAACGCAAGCGCTTTTCTATGCATTTCGCTGTCAAAATTTGAAATCGGAAGTCCACTTTCTCGTGCAAACAGCCAGAAAGTCCTTTTTGCAGATTTGCAAAACTACCACTTTCGGAAATAAAGATTGCAAGGTGTAACTACAACTGCAACTGCGCAAATCGCTTTCGAGAAATAATTTCAACTCGTGCCGCACTAACAATTTTAATTTTTGCTGTAAGTGCTGTCAAACCAATCGAGTGTTACTGTGTGACGCGCTTTTTGCCGAATTTCTATAAGATTATCAAAATGATGCATCACATTTAAATAAATACTTGTAATTATTGTATTCTCCTGATGTGAACAATATAAATATTAGCTGCGTTTGGTTTTACACGCATATACATCTACGCTTAACTTGTAAAAAAAACTATAACTGACAATTTCCATTTCAAAACAAGTAATTTTGATTTTATCGACATTTATTCGTAAGCGCACATAAAGTTTTTTCGCGAGCTCCATACAAATTTAAGCTATTAAAGCATTAAATATTTTGTGGTTCTTTTGTTCACATTTTGTGGTATTCATCTAAACCGATAACTTTATCAAGCAGATAATCTTATAAGTTTACACACTCTGTTACACGAGTGACCCAGACTCTCTTTTCGTTTACTTACTTAAGCTGCCTTTACATGACGCGATTTTCCAGGCGATTCAACATTGCTCTGGAAAAA